TTTTCCTGGGTTAAAAAGTAGTCTTATATGCCAGAAAATACAGTATTTCAGAATTTTGGATAAGAGATACTCAACCTGTATATGGAACTCCCAAAAGACACCACACAGGTATAGTTTCAGAAAAGGTCAGAATCCTATTTGCATGCATGCAGCTGTTTTGGAAAACTACTGTTGTTGTGTACTTTCAAGTCATTTCTAACTTATGGTGACCTGAAAATGAACCTATGATAGGGCTTTCTTGGCAAGATTTGTTCAGAGGAGGTTTCCCTTCCTCTGAGGCTGAGACACTATGACTTGCCCAAGGTCACACAGAATTCAAACCCTGCTCTCCAGAGTTGTAGTCTAGTGCTCAAACCATACAACATGCTGGCTCTGTTTCTAGATTATGCATTAACTCAATTATACATACAACAGCCTTGCAAGGTTGATCAGAATTATCATTTTCATATTGCCAATGGAGGGCTGAGACTTAAAAATGAGTTATTTATCCTTAAGAAGGAAAGAAGATCTTATCTACGTTAGCATAAGAAGGAGAAAGGAAGCAGGAGGAAAGAATGTGGCAGAGCCTTTAAGACTAACTGGTTTTTATTTTTGCATGAGATTTCACTTCTTTAGATACTGTGCCAAGTGGTAGTAAGTCCTCAATAAAAAGCATATTTATACATATTTGTAAAAGTGGAATAGAATGTAATAAGTTCCAGAAAGATACAAATCATGACCCTTGATCTAAATTTTCAAAAGCAAGGGTCATAATTTGCATATTCCCTGATTCTATTACATTCTATCCCACTCCCACAACTATATAACTATGCTTTATGTATACCTGAGGTCTTAATACCTCTCGGTACTGCACCCAGAGAAGTGGGTTTCTATCAATGAAAGCTCATGCAAACATAAAAACCAATTAGTCTTAAAGGTGCTGTCACAGTTCTCTCCCCCCTCTTGCTGTTCCTTATTCCTTTTTATGCTGCAGAAGACTAACATGGCTATTTCTCTGAAAACTAGCTATGGGCCTTTGCAGACTGCCAGAAATAGTGCAAATTGAGTCCACTTTTAGGGTTAGGGTTAGTGCTAGAGAGTCATGGGTATTGTTTTTTCCCCCCCTGAGACATTGAGCCTTCTCTGTCAGAGAGCTCTGGTGCCACAATAAAATACAGTTCCCATGATTCCCTAACTCTAGCCCTAACCCTAACCCTAACCCTAACCCTAACCCTAACCCTAACCCTAACCCTAACCCTTAAAGTGGACTCAATTTGCACTATTTCTGGCAGTCTGCAAAGGTCCTATGTTAGCATTCTGTTCATACAGCAGCCAACCAGTTGCCAATGGATGAAAGCTCATGAACAAGATTTTACAACTTTACGTGCTTTACAACAACTGATATAAAGAGACATACTGACTCTGGTACGGGAGTGAGTTAGTGAGTTTTATCTTCCTGTTTTCTTTTAAAACTGGTTACATTGTTATATCTGCTATTTGTGTTTTTGGTTTGCTGGTCCTTGGCCATAATAAAGTTATTGTATTAGTACTGGAGGGAATATTACAACCATTATGACTAGTAGCCACTGATATGAAAGATGAGAATATCCTTATCCTGCTTGGATTTGTCCAGTCCCCTTTTCAAACCATCCATGTTGGCCACCCATCATTGCTTCTTATGGAAGTCAATTCCACAATTCAGTTATGTGCAGTGTGAAGAATACTTCCATTTATCTGTCCTGAACCTCGCCGTTTCAGTGGATAACTCCAGGGTTTTGCTATTACAGAAGGCAAGGAGAAGGGTTTTACTTTCTTCATACCATGTATAATTTTATAAATATTTTATACACTCCAGCTGTAATGATTTGGCAGGAACAGTCTGTATCTGCTATCCCACTTTTTCAGCCTCTTTCAAAATGTCCCAGTTTCAGTTTCCTTCCTGCCCCTTTGTCCTCAGCTTACCTTGTTTGCTGCAAACTAAATTCAAAGTGAAAAACCAGTTTACACTCAACTCAACAAGGCGGAAAGCAGAGGAGGGGGGTAAAATCTTACCCTTCCTAGTAAACTCATGCAAAAGTAAACTGCTGCAGCTCTCCTAGTTTGTCTATTTTCCCACATTCAGTACGTTTGCCCATTCAGTCTCACTAGAGATCTTGCTTACAGTTCACAGAAATTGCTTCTATCGAGTGTTTATGTTGTGTGCCTTCAAGTTGTTTCTGACTTATGGCGAATCTATCATGGGGTTTTCTTGGCAAGATTTGTTCAGAGAAGCTTTGCCACTGCCATCCTGTGAAGCTGAGAGTGTGTGACTTGCCCATGGTTACCCAGTGAGCTTCCATGGCTGAGCAGGAATTTGAACCCTGGTCTCCAGAGTCAAAAGTCCAACACAAACCACTATGCCACACTGGTGCACTTTTTGTGGATGACAGTTCCCTTAATCAAGTCTACCCTGTCTCTGGATTTCTTTGGAATCCTACCCTGAAAGTTCGCTTCTAGATCAATGCTGATCCAAGAGGATCTCAATTTTTGTTCCCCCCCCCCTTGACCTGAGACTTTTGTGTTTGTTTATCAGTAACATTTATATCTATTTTTCCTCCAAAGACCTCAAGGTGACATGTCAGCTCTTCTCCTCTCCACCTTTCCTCACAAACCCCCTGAAAGGTCAGTCAAACTGAGAAAGAGGGACTGGCTCAAGGTCAGTCACAGTTTCATGGCTGAATGGGGACTTGAACACAGGTCTCTTAAGTTCATTTCAACACCCATACTTCTGCCTCACATTAACATCTGAGCTGTGTGCACTGCTAGGGTTCAAAACAAATTCCTCCAACATCAGGATTTCATTTTTAAGAAGCTAGCATCAGAAGTTTGTGCAGAGATAAGCGCTTCTTAAAGCAAATTCTGTTGAAACAGCCAAGGCAAGTAGATATCACAGAATTTTATTTAATCTAATGTCCCGTTTGGTGTCAGACTTTGTTTTATTAAGCATTACTCTGATATAGAAGGGCTTATTTTTCCCACCCCCAGCCCTAAATGCTGCTACAGCTATAAAACTACCATCAAGAGAAGAGGTTTATTTATCTCTAGACTTTACTTGCTGCCAAATAGTGTTTCAGAAATCTCCACTGAGCTGAAGTAACACCTCCAAATGGGGGGATTAGAAGCCGCTTCTAAATGGTTTCTGTGGAACTCTTCTCTTTCTTGTCCTCCGTGCTTAATCTGTCTGCACCCTTGACATAGTATGAAGATCCCAAATAATTTGAGTGCTGTAGGATCATAAACATGACCAGGCATGACTTTTAAATTAATAACAATGTTATTTATATCTGAGTTATTGGATACGGTACAGTGATTGCCAAGCTATTCCCATTAATTTAAGTGCAAGTTCTTTAAGAATCATTACAAGCCTTTATCCAAGGAACGAGAGGCACTGCCCCACTGACAAGAAAACCACCATCCACAACTGGTTGCCACACAAATCTGAATTCTAAAAAAACCCATCATGTTTACTGGATCAGGAAATGTTCGAGAAAATGGGAAATGGGAAAATGCCACCCATGTCCTAGAATCTAGCTGTCCTATAGGGTTGTGGTACAGTGAGTGCACTGCTAAATCCCTAGTTCAAATATCACTGCAACTACAGATGGGGATGAATAAGAATTTTATATCAGTTCATTTTTTTAAAAAAGTATCAGAATGTATTTGAATATACTAATCCTAAGAAATTCATGGAGATACAGACTAAGCTTACTTATTTTCCAGCTGGACATGCCAGCTTGAATGTCAAGTAACTATGGCTGTGGAGACAGAAAACTGGACAGAGAGGATGTAGTGTTTAAACTCCTGATGGGCAGCACTTATTTTGATGTTTTGAACTTTGTACGCCGCCCCGATTGCTTGGCAGAGGGGCGGGATATAAATAAAAATTATTATTATTATTATTATTATTATTATTATTATTATTATTATTATTATATTAACATTTATATTTTATGATTATGAGGATAAAAATCTTTAAGACTCTCAGTGTCTTAAAGATACTCATATCCAGGGGTAGCCATGTTGGCCATATAGCAAAGTACAAAATCATCCAAAATCCACAAAACAGTGATACCTATAGCTATGATAGCTACACAGAACCTCTAGATTCAGAGGCAGTATTGATGTTTGCAATTGACATATAAAGGTTACTAACAAAGTCCCACCCTCAGTTGATGCCAAATATCATGCCAGTAGTTAGAGTAAGAGTTTAGTGGGTTTAAACCAGAGTTTGGAAACTTACTGTTTTTAGACTGTTGCTACTAGAATTTCCCAGGCAACATGGTGGCCTTGCTGACTGGGGAATTCTGTGAATTATAGTTACAGACACTTTACCCAACTTTGGTTTGGTCAAAAGGTAGAATGGAAAACTACTTTAATAGATTGTGAATATATGATTGATCAGCCCAGTGTGTTTTGAATTCATTGCTCTTGAAGCATTAGCAAAGGAGCTGTAGCCTCCCCCGAAGGTTGCCAGATTTTTTTCTAATCACCAGGCTATAGATTGATCTGAACATGCTTTGAGTCAGACTTGGGATGGGATATTGCCATTTATGCTATTCTGAGCTTTTTAGAGGAAGTGTGGGACAGAAATAGAATGAAATACAGTCTACTCACATCTGGGATTGGGGAGGTAGAGCTTCCAGGCCAGATGTTACAGGTCCCAGACAGCTTTGAGTCTGGAAGAACTTTCTTTTTAGCAATTATCTTCTGGTGGGCAGATGTAATATTATAGTGTCCCTACACATTTTCCAAAGGCTAGTATTCTTTTGAAGAGCAAATTCTTCTAGTGAGTGGCAACAGCCATGATGAGGGAAATGTTGGCATGTTGGCGTGCTTAGGGAAATCTTGAGGTGTGCAGAAGTACACATTTCATTAAAATAAATAACAGCTTAAGTGGCCATGTACATACTCTTAAGAGTCCACTGTAGACTGAGCATGGTCAGCAGTCATGGAATCCAGGAAAGCAGTTGCCTAAGAGAAACAAAAGAGATAGTACCCACATAGGTACAATGGAATAGTTTTAAATTCTTTGATTATCTTTTCAGTGTTGCAAGTTAAGCCTATCATGAAGAAAAATGCACTTTCTTTTTAACTTTAACCAGATTTTTTAGTACAGTTACCAAAAAGGAGGAGGAAGAGGAGGAGGAAAGAAAAGAAACAGAAAAAAAGAAAAAATGAAAAAAGAGAAAGGAAATACATAAGATATAAGCAAGGGCTAGACATATAGATTATTATAATTCAGAGACTATCTATCTCTGTGTTAGTCTGAAGTATCAGTAGATCTTGAAGCACCTTTGAGACTGTGTGAAAGAAATTTTCACACAGTTAGTTTCAAAGGTGCTGCAAGATTCCTTTGCATACATAAGTGAATCATATCTCCAAAAATCATATTTTTGAAACTGACATCTATAAAACATACATTCATGCATAACTAAAGCAGTAATCTTCTAGACATTAAAAATGATATGATAAATGTTTATGCAATATAAGTCTTTTTGCAACAATAAAAGCATACAGGATCCAACAATCCTCAGTTAAATTCCACATTATAGGAATGTAATTTAAAAGAACATGCCCATCTACAAACACCAGCAATGTTACTGATACAAGAAAATACACCTTTACATAAATGCTATGCATTTTTTAAAGATGTTTATTATTTATTGGTAGGATACATACATGAATATGAATACAGAATAAAGAAAATAAAAATGAAAAACTTCTACTATTGAGTTGTATGTAAATCAATGCATTCCCAATTCAATGTTTCTCGCCCTCCCCACCTTCCTGATCCCAACAATTATGTTTCTAATTATGGTTTGGTTTGTAAAAAAGCTTCATTTTTAACATATTCTTCTTGAATTTGTAACACTGGAATTCATCCACAGATCAGTACATAGTGAGAGCGATTATATACTATGCTGTATTGTTAACAACAGTATAGTATAACAAAAATAAAGGGGTGCTCGTAATATATTCTATCGTCTCTTTTTGACTAATTCCAATTTTGGCTGAGTTATTGAATTTAAGAACTTAAACATGCCATTTCTGGTCACAGAAATTTAACAGTGAATCCCAGGTTTTGTCCCAATCTTGGTTTAGTTTATCGGATAGAAATATTGTTAGTTTATCTAACTCTATCATGTCAAGGCATTTTGTAAGCCAGTCATCCAGAGTTGGTGCTTCTTTTTCTTTCCATTTTTGAGTGTAGACCATTCTAGCAGCCGATACAGAGTATAAAATATATTTTAAATACTTCCTTTCCTCCTTCCCCTCCACTATGTTTAATAAGAAGCACTCAGGAGTCATTTTTTATTGTGGTTTGAGTTATTTGTTGCACAATCTTGTGTATTCCCTTCCAATATTTTTTTGCAACTGGGCATGTCCACCAGATATGGTATAAAGGTATAAGTAACAAGAAAACAGAATTAGATGAGATTATAATGAGATTATAATGGGATCACACAAATCAGTGATTGCTATGTAGGATGTTTTGCTGTCACTTGTGTGACTTCACTCAGCCTTCATCAACCTGCAGCCCACTAGATGTGTCAGATTACAACTCCCAGCATCTTCTTCCAGCATTAGCCTTGCTAGCTGATGATGATGGGACACATAATCCAACACACTGGAGAATGCTAAATTGGATGTGGCTGATCCTCTTAATCTATCTCAAGGCATTTATAATCAATGGAGCATGGTGGGAAGAGAATACGAAAACCGCTTGAGCCTGTGTGCTGTAGTGGTTTAAGCACTGGACTACAACACTGGAGACCAGGGTTCAAATCCCCACTTGGCCATGGAAACCCTTGGGCAAGTCACAGTCTCTCAACCTCAGAGGAAGCCAAGAGCAAATCCCTCTGAACAAGTTCTGCCAAGAAAAACACATCACCATTATTCAGAAACCGTAAGTCATAGGGCCACCATAAGTCAGAAACGACTTGAACAACAACAGTGCAAACTGGAAGATATACTCAGTAATGAGCTTGAGTCTCCAGAAACATCTCATACATTCCTTTTTGTATCTTTGGATTCCAACAGTTTTGCATCAGATATGGCAAAACTTACTGAAGTGACCTAAGGGGACTACATTATGGAAGTCAGAGGAAGCTGCTGTCCCATTACCAGTGTTACAGTAGGTTGCTGCCATACTGCAGAATTATGCAGTTTGACACTGCTTGAACTGTCATGGCTCCATCCTGTGGAATCCTGGGATTTGCATTTTGTTGTGGCACCAGAGATCTCTGACAGAGAAGGCTAAATATCTCACAAAACACAAATCCCAGAATTCCATAACATTGAGCCATGGTAGTCAAAGCGGTGTCAAACTGCAATGTAGATGCAGTTTAAGATTCTTACAATCCAGTTCA